AAAATACAGTCAGAGGAGAAAAAAATAAAAAAGAATGAAAAGCAACAAATATTACTTAGAAGCTATAGATAACTACCTGAAAAAGACCTAATCCAAGAATTTTTGGTGTTTTTAAGAGAGAAAGTTGAGCAAGAACAAAGGGTAGAAAGCTTATTTAAAATAATAATAATAAACTTCTCAAAACTTAAGAAAGATGTCCAGCTGCAGGAGAATCAGAATATACCAAACAGATCTGATTCAAATAAGACTGCCCCCACTGGCATACAATAATCAAAATCTCAAAAGACAAAGACAAAGAGTGAATCCTAAAAGCAGCGAAAGAAGCAAGTAACACAGAAAGAGGCCCCCGTTCATCTGGCATCAGACTTCTCAGTGGAACCCTTACAGGCCAGGAGGGAGTGGAATAACATGTCTAAAATGCTGAAAGAAAATAGCATTCAAGAATACTGTGTCCAGCAAAGCTGTCCTTCAACTGTAAAGCAGAGATAAAATTTTTCCCCCACAAAAGCTGAGAGAATGCACCATATAAACCTATCTTACAATAAATCATGAGTGGTGCCTGTGGCTCAAAGGAGTGGGGTGCTAGCCCCATATACTGGAGGTGGCGGGTTCAAACCCAGCCCTGGCCAAAAACTGAAAAAAAAAAAAAAAAAACCAAAAAGAAATGCTAAAAGGAGTTCTTCCATCTGAAAGAAAAAAACACAAACATGCAAAAAAGAAAAATGTTTGAAGATGTAAAACCCACTTGTAGAATTAAGTGTGCGGGCAAACTCAGAACATTTCAATACTACAATCGTGGTGTACTGTCCACTCATAACTCTAGCATGAAGGCCCAAAGAGAAATCTATCAGAAACAAGAACAGCTACAGCAACTAGTTAAGAGATAGCTAATATAAAAATATGCAGACTTAGATAAGTAAAAGTCAAAACGTGGGGGAGAGGGAGCTAAAATACAGGTTTTTCATTTGCTCCTTTATTTCTATTATTTTCTTTCTGATCTAAGATAAGTTATCCCTTTTTTGTTTTATCTAACTCACTTTTAATAAAAGTTGTAGCATTAAACAGATAGACAAGTTATTGAAAAATCCATCATTTTCCCTTTCCTGGTGAATAGAGGACACAAAGCAGAACCTCAAGGAGATTCTGCAACCATGACCTTGCTGATGTGGAATTCTCAAGCCTTTTAGGAGAACCTTTACGAATCCAAGTAAGCTATATAACACCTTGATTGCTTTAACTCCAATGAACTGTGGATGTTTAAGGAGGCTATGGTTCTTCATTATTCCTCAATAACAAAAATAAAACTGGAAACTTGGCTGTCTACTGTACTAAATGTCAGAATAGAATTACTTTAATGCTACACTTTCCAACCACTCCATGCATTCCATCTTACTTTCTATAGTGAACACCTCTTTAGGTTGCCCCATATCCCTTTCCTTTCGGCATAAGGGCCCCACTCAGCCACTGTGACTGACAGGAGTTATCACTGATAGTGCGTCTGATCCGGGGCTGGCCAAGTTCACAGTCCCCATCTCTTTTCCACAGGGACTAGTCCAGTGCAAGGGCAGATGATCCAGAGTCCTTGTGTGGAATTTGATTTGTGGACCCTGGAAAAGAAAGTTCTCTCCTTTTTGGATGACAGACCTTAAGGATGCAGGCCCGTGGCTAACTGACAGAGGCACGTTGTGTGGAGGGGCCAGCCTGCGAATGAAACCAGGAAACAGGAAACTAGGAGACGGGGGTAAAGAGCACAGGCAGCACCCTCGGAGGCTTGGCACCCGGCTAGGCTGGATGATAGTAAATTTTTGAGGTGGTAACATCAGTGAATCAGTGCAAATGAAGTATTCCTTCTCTAAGGAATCAAACATAATTTATTTTAGAACTAAATAGGACAGACTTAGCAAAAGAAAAAGTTTTATCCTCAACTTTCCCGATAGACATTTTCTGGACAGGCTCCCTGTTAGGTACAGAGTGTGTCAGTGGCCTTCAGAATGGACAAATTACATAAGTTGATTGAAAAGTCAAGTTTGAACACAAGTCTTTCCATTCTTTGTGCTCTAGAACAATTCTCAAAACACATTTGTTATGCCCTCAGCTTACAACTGGTCCATTAAAATTTTCTTCTAAAAGTAATTTACATCAAGAGAATCACTTTCTTTATACATATTCAAAAACAGAACGCATCCGTTTTCTCCAGTGTTCCATGGAAGGGAAAAAACTGCCCAGCCCAAGACATGTAGCAAAGACAATGATTCTTATTTTGGTTTCTCTGTTTTAACGACCAGGGAAAAATCCTTTGTTGTTTTCATCTTGGTTTCAATAATGGTAACAATAACGGCTTCTTCCTCTGAATTTTTGATCTGTTATCCAACTTTGATCTTTTACATTCAAGAAACAGATATTGCAAAGCTTTGCAGTATCCTTCCTTCAAACACTGCCGAGGGGATTTTCCTTTCCGGAGCAAATAGATCTGACCACAGCAAACATTTGCACTTCCTGAGCTCGCGCGCGCGTGCGCGCGCACACACACACACACACACATACACACACACACACTTAGACACACCCTCAGAAAATGCACCACCCTCTGGCTTGTCTCCGTATGGGGGCATGACGTCTCCTCCCACCTGCTGCAGCCCCCTGCCTCCTCCCATCTGGAAGGTTGAGACCAACTAGGGAGGGAGCGATGCCCGCCAGTTGTTATCCCTTTAAAATAACTTCTTGTACCTGTAAGATGTTTTGGTAAGCCTCGTAATAACCAGAACACAAAAAACTTATTATAGATTCCCTAAAAATAAAGTTGAATTATCACACTGGCCTACATATATTGACTAGAGAATATTTTGTAACCTAAAAGGACCCAGAAACATCACAAGACTTGTTCTGAATTTCAACCACGGACAGAGAAGAACTAGTCCCACAGGATACATTTAAAAGACAATGGGAGACTCGGCTTTCTTATTGTATCCATGGGTCATTGTTCAATGTAACAATGATGCAAGTGTTTGAGAAGTGCAATCACACTGTTCTGCTATTCTCATTGGAAGATTCACTAGAAGATAGAGGGTTTAACAATATGTTTCTGAGTCTACTCAGGTTTATAGAGGAGGCCAGATTCATGCATTGTCCGAACCAGAAGGAACATTTTATATCAGCAACACCAACCTCTCATTTCCTCTCAAGGAAACTTAGGCCCAGAGAAATGTGAGGGACTTTTCCAAGCTCATACATACAGAGACACCAAATATATATATATATATATTATTATATATTTTATGTTATATATATTGTAATATACATAGAGTATCTGCTCACACCAGCCATATTTACTTACGTACCTTCCTTTGTAGAGGCCAAATTTCGTCCTGTTTTCCAGCTCTCAGAGAGATAAAAGCAAAATTTGTAGGCAAGGCTCTTTATAGTAGCCAAGAAAAGCTACGCTAAGAATCTGAATGTATCTTTGCCTGCTGTCCTCCTGGGTTTGAGGTGTGGCCACTGTTACTGGAAGAAAGAATGCTCCAAACCCGTCTCTGAGCACATCCCTGAAGACATGTACATTTTTTATTATTTGCAATAGTCACCGTGTTTCTCAAAAACTGTCCTAAGTTCATGCATTCACCTTATTCAAGACAGAGTCTCATCCAGTGCTTGGAACAGAGGAGGATTCAGCAAATGTTTGCAGATTAACATACTGATTGGATTCCAGTCGAGCTGCCTGTGTGCTTTTCATATGTCAACAACCCCACTAGCAGAGAAAGTAAAAGGTGACATTTCTGCGCATCCTTGCTCTTCGGGTCCACCTCTCTGCAGAACCCCAATTCAGGGCTGCACGGTGGAGGAGCAGCATGTCCCATTGGCGTGCAGCCACCTGGGCGGACGAGACCATGGGGCATGTCCAGGAGGCACTGCTGCCCTGCCCACGGTTACTGTTTCAACCTGAGCTATTCTGTGGCTGGTGGTATAAAAGAAGCTCAACCCCTGGGTCACCTCCCACCCTCTGATGAAAGGGAAACATGAACTTTCACTGGAAAACATAGTTGATGTACGGTCCAGTCAAATTCCTCCAACAGTGGACACTTTGTTTCTCCTTTAATTCACATGGGTAGATACCTGGTTTCTTTGGGATTTCATACTAGTCCAACAGCTAACAAGGACAAATAAATGCCTAGAGTTTCAATTAGAGGAGGGTGAAGAAAGTCACTCAGTATGTGTAATGTGGTCAGCTTGTCTAATTTCTTTCTTCTTTTTTGGAGACAGAGTCTCACTATGTCACCCTGGATAGAGTGCTGTGGTGTCACAGCTCACAGAAACCTCAAACTCTTGGGCTTAAGTGAGTCTCTTGCCTCAGCCTCCCAAGTAGGGAGGACTACAGGTGCCCACCACAACGCCTGGCTATTTTTGTTGTTGTTGTTTGGCAGGTCTTGGCTGGGTTGGAACCGGCCAGTCCCAGTGTATGTGGCTGGCATCCTAACCTCTGAGCTACAGGGGCCAAGCCACTTTGTTTTTGTTTTTGAGACAGAGTCTCATTTTGTTGCCCTTGGTAGAGTGCTGTGGCATTATAACGCACAGCAACCTCAAACTCTTGGGCTCAACAAATTATTTTGCCTCAGCCTCCCAAGTATCTGGGACCAAAGGTGCCCACCACAATGCCTGGCTATTTTTTTAGAGACAAGGTCTCACTCTTGCTCAGGCTGGCCGTGGACATGTGAGCTCAAGCGAGCCACCGCTCGGCCTTCCAGAGTGCTGCACCTTGTCTAATTTCTAATAGCACAGGCCTAACTATCATGTCAGCTCTGAGCAGCTAAGCAGACACTTCTCACCACTGCCTGGGGGAGGGATTGCCTGGCTCCCCTTTGTCTTGGCAGCTTGGCATGTGCCCCAGGCACCTGAAAGGCAGTAAGTTGGGTTGCAGCAGGGGACTCCCAGGAGCCACCCTGCCTGCTCCAGGAGGGCGGAGATACCTGGGACCAGAGAGGAGTCTCCTGCAGGACCAGACCTACCTGACTCCATTCTCCCTTCCTCTTTGTCCTGGACTTTCTCAGAGGCACTGGAGCCCCTGGGGAAGGGCTGGTGGCTGAAGAGGTCCTCACACAGAAGGCTCCGGCACAGCTTGGTTAGGAAGCGGAGGACGTACCCCACGCTGTTCACCACGGGCACACTCCGCAGGTGCTGTTTGCCATCAAAGGACGCCGAGACTGGAAAACCACAGAGACAGCGACTCAGGGCTGGGCTCTGGAGAAACCTGAGAGTCAGCCTGGGGGAAGGGGTTGTTGTTTGGTTTTTTGTTTTGTTTTGTTTTAAGTAGACTTTATTTAAATTTCACCTGTTTTACCACTAATGTCCTGTTTCCATCCCAGGATTGCATCCTGGAACCACGTTGCATTTAATTGTCGTGTCTCCATCTCCTTGGTCTGTGACAGTTTCTCAGTCTTTCCTTGTTTTTTGTGACCCTGACAGTTTTGAAGAGTACTGGTCAGGTATTTTATAAAATGTCCCCCAATTTGGGGTTTCTATGATTTGGGTTTTTCTCATGATTAGCCTGGGATTATGGATTCTGGGGGAGATAAAGTGCAGGGTCCATGACATCCACATGACATCACCCGGCCAAGGCAGTCAGTGCAGGCCACATTCCTTCCCTGCCTTCTCACACTGCTCCTGAAACAGGTTAGTAAGTCCCGTCCACACTCAGGGGAAGGACAGGGGACAGTCTAGGTATCATGTGGAATTCTTCTCTAAGCAAGCGTCGCGCCTTCTCCCCACTTCTTTATTCAGTCATCTGTTCATCTCAGAACAGTCTGATACATGTATTTTGTCCCGTGCTTACCCCATGCTCTGTTGTTTGTTTTCCTGCTCAGATTGTGCCCACTGTCCTCTTTGGGAGCCCTTTCAGGTTGCTTCCTGTGTCCCTGTGAAATGCCCACCCCACCTAAAAGCACCTCTTTGGTTTCTGGCCCTTCAGTACACTCCAGGTTCATCTCCTGTTTTTCCCTGCTCAGCCCTACCGTCAACCCTGTCACCATAGTCCTGCTTTGTCTGATTAGGGAGTGATTTTGAGGAACCAAGATCAGGGTACTGGACGTGCTCATTGCTACCAGGGTGTCAGTGGCTCTGGGCCCTCTGAGTGAACAGAGATAAAAATGCATCTATGGACTGGGCACCTGTGGCTCAAGCGGCTAAGGCGCCAGCCACATACACCTAAGGTGGCAGGTTCAAATCCAGCCCAGCCCACTGAACACCAATGATGGCTGCAACCAAAAAAAATAGACAGGTGTTGTGGCGGGTGCCTGTGGTCCCAGCTACTTGGGAGGCTGAGGCAGGAGACTCGCTTGAGCCCAGGAGTTGGAGGTTGCTGTGAGCTGTGATGCCATAGCACTCTACCCAGGGGGACAGCTTGAGGCTCTGTCTCAAAAAAAAAAAAATTTATCTATAAGTATTTCTGTATCTGTCTATATTTATTAAGCAAGAAAGGAAGGAAGGAAGGGAGAGAAGGAGAAAGGAAGAAAAAAGGGGAAAAAGGAGGGGAGGAGGGAGAGAAGAAGAAAGAAGAACATAGGAAGGAAGGGTGCTTGATGTATCGACAGGTCTGTTTATTTATTATCTATGTCGAGAGAGAGAGGAAAATACAGGCACCCAGTCTAAGAGCTGCTGAAATGCTCACGAACAGGCTGTCCGGGCCTTCTGGGAATTCCCTCTTGGCACAGCCACCGCCACTCATCTGAGATGCCTTACAAGGAGGGGATATGGAGCCTGAACCCGCAGCAGGAGGGCTCAGGCCAGCCAATGTGCAAACGTTCTTGAAGTGCCTGAAGGAGCACCTAAGTGGGAAAATTCCACCTATTAGAGGATTCATGAGATCGTAAAATCTAGCCCTCCGGACAGCGACTGAGAAAGAGTGCCCCGAGATGTGTGCTGGGAGTGGGTTAGGGGGCTCTGTGGTACTGTTCCCTTCAACCCTGCAGGTGGCCAAGGCAGTCTGGTTTCTTGACGCCTGCACCAGCACCTACACTACCATGTTCTGTGTGTTGTGACCTTGGAATATTCAGAAAGCCAAGCCCCAAGGACCGAGAACCTGGCTATTTCTCCTGTGTCCCCTCCCTCCCTACACGACTTTGATCCTGTCACACAGCCTTGCCAAGCCTCCATATTACCTTCTGTAACATGAAAAACCACCTCCCCACCGTGGTCGCGTGAGGGGTCAGCCCAGTGGGTCGGCATTCCCCGGACACTCTGCTCGCCCCACTGCCCTGCGTGGTGGTTGGTGCTGTGACCAAGGAATGGGGCAGGATAAGAAAATAAAGCATGACAAGGGCTGAGCTCTTAGACGGGGGCAAAAGAGAACTCTTTATTTTTTTATTTACTTTTTGAGACAGAGTCTCACTATGTCACCCTCGGTAGAGTGCTGTGGCATCACAGCTCATAGCAACCAGCAACCTCAAACTCTTGGGCTTAAGTGATTCTCTTGCCTCAGCCTCCCGAGTAGCTGGGAGTACAGGCATCTGCCACAACAGCTATTTTTTATTGCAGTTGTCATTATTGTTTAGTTGGCCCAGCCTTGGTGTATGTGGCTAGCACCATAACCACTGTGCTATGGGCGCTGAGCCATAAAGGAGAACTCTTTAATAAGGTGGCATTTGAGTAGAGACCTAAAGGACATCTAGAAGCAAGTCACGTGACAGCTGGGGGAAGATCATTCCAGAGCGAAAACAACAGGTACTTGAGGCAGGAATGTGGTTAGGGGTATAGGAGACCAGCAAGGAGCCTGCCATGGATGGAACAGAGCGGAGGACACGAGAGTGGCCAGGAGGTTGAAGAGGTAGCCAGGGCCATGTTGTATAGGACCTCTGGGCCTGTGTAAGGACTTGGCTTTTACTCTGAGTGACAAGGGAGCCACTAGAGAGCTTAGAGGAGGGCGGGATCTGACTTAGATTCTCAAAGAACCAGCATGGTGCCATGGGTGGTGAAAAATGCTTGGATCCTGACACGTGTTGAAGGCTGAGTAGTAGCATTTACTGGTGGGTTAGAAGGAGAGGGGGCAGAAAGAGAAGATTCAAGGGTGAGGATTCAGATGCCCAGTCTTCCTATATAGGACTGGAAGTTTCTTCTTTTCCAGACTGAGACTTTCAGCCCACAGCCTCCTGTGGGGCCCAGGAGCTCAGCAGGTGGAGGCCAAACTTTGGCCACACTTATTGCTCCCAAGCCTGAGTCCCGATGGACTCAAGGAGACACCCATGGCCCTCCCAGGCCACCTGCTCCAGGGCCTTACCTGACACCACCTCGCCACCAAAGCCCGGCTTGACGAGGGAGAAGACCAGCTTCTGCTGGTGGGCACAGTCGATGCAGGCTTGCACGGCCTGCTGCAGGACGGCGGCCGGCCTCTCGGGCCCAAAGTGCTCAGGCAGCTGCTGCACCTTCCTCCTCTCCAGGAAGGGCCCCGCGTTGGCCCGCTTGTTGATGTAGAGGCAGACTGCGGAGACAGCACGCACAGGATGGCCGTTACTGCCGTTGAGGCTGTCAGTTGGTGACACCCCACCGGAGAGAGAGACTGGACTGGAGGATTCCCATGGAACTGAGGAAGATGAGGATTCTTAGGAGACCCAGACAATGGAAACTCTTCAAAGTGAGCAGTCTTGTGCTGGTGAGCTAAGGGAGTCTGCTCTGAAAAAAACCCTATCTGGCTACTCTTGTCCACCCCACCCCCCCTCACCCCCCAAAGCTATCAGTTAAACTCAAAATGTATTGAAAACCAAATTTCAAATAATCCAAGCTGTGAGTCACATAAATTCACGTTTTCGGGGAGTTTGGTCCTCCTGTCTGCTGTCTGGCTAACGCACTAACTCCTTCAGAAGAGCCATCTCAACAGCAACCCTTCAGCTCACTCAGTGACTGTTAGGTGGCAGCCTCCTTCTTCACTGGCCTCTGTGGCCTTGGAGCTCATTCTGCTGACCTACCTGTGAGGGTCTGCGGGGCTGCTGCCAGGCTGGGGACAGTGGCTGTGTCCTGAGGAATGGAGCTGAGGTTGGGTTCTGGGGTACTCTGTACAGGTAGGAGGGCTAGTGGAGTCATGAGGACCTGAGACTTGATCTGCAAAAGAGAGCCCATTGGGTCAGTGAGAATCTAGAAAGCTCTCTGCAGCTTTATAGAATCTTGGCTGAGCGTCAGTTAACTGTCACTGCCCTACACACTAGGCTTTTCTGTGGTGTTGCTCTGGGGCCTGAACTTCAGATTCAAGTTTCTGGTCAGGTCACACTCAGAGATCCACTCTGTACCCAACCCTTATAGTGGCGCCACCCAGGACACGAAATGTCATTGGGGTACGGGAGCACGCAGAGATGTGTAGTTGAAATCACCATCTCGTGAGTTCAGGGGGCAGGATGGGAGAGACAGATTCCAGCCTGCCCCCTGTACTCCTCACTGTTCTGCAGACAGGGCTTTTCCTACATTCACCCAGGGATTGACCCTGACTCTCTCCTCTCTCTATCAAGCCCTCTGCTCACAGAGATTACTGGATCCAGTTGGGAAAGAGACAGGAGCCCCGCCTCTAAGGAGTAATCTACTGCTCAATGTCCCTTTCCCAAAACAAACTGTCAACCCCAGCCTGGATGTGGACACACAAGCATTTTCTGGCAGTGAGCAGCTGCTTCTTGGAAGGTCTCACTTGACACCACAAGTGAGGAGCTGAAATGTGCTCTTCTGGAATAAGGTGGAAAAGGCCAGTTGATGATATCTATATCAACAAGTCACTCTATACCAGGTGTGGTACAGAGACAAGCTTTTATTTTTAACTCTCCACCCAGAAATAATGAATAAGGCACTTCCTCTCTTCACCACTGACCTACATCCAGACCCCACTCCAGGCCAAATAAGTCAGTCTCTGGGAGTGAGACTCAGGCATCAGGAGTGTAAAAAAATACTCAGGGCCAGGCAGGTGGCACACACCTATAATCCTAGCACTCTGGGAGGCCAAAGTGGTTGGATTGCTTGAGCTTACAAGTTTGAGATAAATAAAATAATAGCCCCCATCTCTAAAACAATAGCCCAGCATTGTGGTGGGTGTCTGTTCTAGCTACCTGGGAGGCTGAGGCAAGAGAATTACTTGAGCCCAAGAGTTTGAGGTTACTGTGAGCTGTGATGCCACAGCTTTCTACCCAGAATGACAAAGTGAGACTCAAAAAAAAAGATACTCAGATTCTAATGCACAGTTAACGCTGAGGACCATTGCTGAACACCAGACCTTTTCAATGTTTGCAGCCAACCTCCTGAGGGCCTCTTAAAATGCAGATTCTGATTTAGGAGTTGTAGAGTGGGCCTTGAAATTTTACATTAGTAAGAGCTCCCTGGTGGCACTGATGCTCTGGCCATGGACCATACTTTGCGTAGCAAGGTTGTACATCGTGCTAACATATGTCCAGTTCCCATCCATATCCTAACATTCTTCCTGGATTTTTAGAATAGGGTAACAATAGTAGTCATGAAAAAACAGTAGTCCAACTGCCATTACCCAATCATTCTATAGTCATTCATTTATTTATTCAACGACCATGTATTGAGAGCCCATTTCATGCCAGATAACTTTTCTAGCTGCAAGGAATGCAACAGGGAACAGAGTGGGCAAAAACCTTTGCCTACATGGGACTGATACTCATTTGAGGGGAGACAATGTATAGAATAGACAAGTAAATGATATAGTATGTTAGAAGGTGATAGTGGGAATAAAGAGGAAGGGGTAAGGGAAGTTCAGTTGACAAGTTTGTGCTTTGGGTTGGAATTTTAACCATTTTAACCTTAACCAGAGTGGTTAAGGCATTGCTGGGTGACAATGCACAAAGGTTTGAAGGAGATGGTAGGAAACAAGTCATATCAATTGCCTAGAATATTCCAAAGGCAATGAGAACGTCAAATGCAAATGTCCGGAGAAAGGATTACGCCTGGAAGGTTTGTGCAACTGCAGGGAGGCCACAGGGTGATGGGAGAGGTAGTGAAGCCAGACTGGCCGGGCTTTGCAGGACGCTGTAGCCTTTAGCTGTTACTCTGAGATCTTTTTTCTTTTTCGTTCTTTTTTTTTTTTTTTTTTTTGGTTGAGTGCCTTAGTGTCAAAGCTCACAGCAATCTCAAACTCCTGGGCTTCAGTGATTCTCTTGCCTCAGCCTCCCAAGTAGCCAGGAGTACAGGCACCTGCCACAACGCCCAGCTATTTTTTTGGTTGTAGTGGTCAATGTCGTTTAGCTGGCCCAGGCTGGATTTGAACCCGCCAGCTCCCGTGTATGTGGCTGGCGCCCTGGCCACTGAGCTAAAGGCACTGAGCCTATTCTGAGCTCTTTTGAGCAGGGAAAACAATCGGACCTAAACTAACATTTTGATAATCTGTTGTGTTGAAAAGAAAAGGGCAAAAGTAGGAGGACCACTAATCTAGAGTAGGTGAGAGATGACTGTAGGTTGAACCAGGGCGATACAGAGGTCACTATGGAAGTTTGGACACACTGCGTAAGGTCCATTAGCTCTGCCGCTGGGAGGGCCTTGTCTGTTTCCACCCAGGTGCTGCCCTCAGTCAGTGCCAGCTGTGGAGGTGGGAAGAGAGCACTTTTGCACAATGATTTTCTATGATTTTTAAAGTGGGTTAAATGAGTCTCAAAGCATTAAGTGTTTGCAACAGGTTTTCAGGGACCTTGCAGATTGGGTTGAAATTTTAAAATTGGGTGATTCCTGATTGGAATAAACTCAGGAAATAATGGAAAGAGAGGCATTGGAATCGGGTCCTCAAATCAAGTCTTTCAGGGAGATTTGTCAGAAAGTGGAGCAGAGGAGTAGCCACAGCACAAAGAAAAGCGGGATACAAAGACTGTTTGCTCCACAGTGAGATACCACCTCACAGCCATTAGGATAGCTACTGTCAAAAATTAACAACAACAACACCCCAGAAAATAGCCAATGTTGGTGAGCACACAGAGCATCTGCGACCCTGTGCACCTGTCCCGGGGGTGGTGGTGGTGGTAATGAAGTAGTGCAGCAGCTCCGATAACAGTACGGCGGCTCCTCAAAAAATCAAAAATAGAATTGCCATATGACTCGGCAAATCCATTTCTGAGTATGTACCCCAAAGAACTGAAAGCAGGATTTGAAGACGCTATTTTACACCCATAGCAACAATATTTACAATAGGCCAAAAGTCAAATTCATAGAGACGAGAAGTACAATAGTGGTTGCCGGGGGCTGGGGAAAGTGAGAATGGGGAGTTTGTGTTTAGTGAGTACAGAGTTTCAGGTTTACAAGATAAAACATTCTGGAGATTGGTTGCCCAACAACCTGACTGAAATATAGACTTAGAAATAGTCACAATGGTGAATTTTGTGTTGTGTGTGTGTGTGTGTGTTTTAGCATGATTCATTTTTTTTAAATTTTAACGACTTTTGGGGTTTTTTTTTTGAGATAACAAAACAATAACAGTGTTTTAATGCTGGTGGAAACAACCCAGGAAAGAGAGGAAAGTTGATGATACCAGAGCGAGTGTGGAGAACTGCTGGCGTGGGGCTTTTAGTAGATGAGAGGGGAAGATTTGGTGCATGGGGAGGCAGCAGCCGCAGAGGAAGCACCAGCCATTCATCTAGTGCACTGGTTCTCAACCTTCCTAATGCTGTGACCCTTTAATAGAGTTCCTTGTGGTGCAGTGACCCCCAACCATAAAATTAGTTTCATTGCTACTTCATAACTGTAATTTTGCTACTGTTATGAATTGTAATGTAAATGTCTGATATGCAGGATGTATTTAGGCGACCCCTGTGAAAGGGTCATTCAACCCCCAAAGGGGTCATGACCCACAGGTTGAGAACCGCTGCTAGTGCAACAGGAAAGGTTTGGATGTTGGGGAGGGGGTGAGCTTGTTAATGAACTGGGGACTACAGCATGGTTGCTGGCAGCACTGAGGGGACACTGAGATGTGCAGGAAGCAATTTCTGTTTCTCTTTCCTTAGCCTACAGCACCCAGTATTCCCAGGTAGTCTCTGGTCCACATACTAACTAGGCCAACCTGGCTTGGCTTCTGAGATCAGACGTTCTGGGCACGTTCAGGGTGCTAAGACTGTAGACTGCAGAAAAGAACTTCAAGTGAGCTCAGTCAGCGTTGAGCAAGTTGCTGCCCAGTGCTGTTATAGGTACTAAATTTAGGGCCCTTGGGAAAGCCCCTATATTAATCAGAAGCACCAATTAACAGTAGACGTTCATCTCATTCTGAGTATAGCGTTTGAAAAATTAAAGGACCCATCATGTAGCAATACACTGCTAACTATTACAAAAAGAATTTCTTTTTGAGACAGAGTCTCACCCTGTCACGTTGGGTAGAGTGTTGTGGTGTTATAGCTTACAGGAACCTCAAACTCTTGGGTTCAAGAGATCCTCTTGACTCAGCTTCCTGAGTAGCTGGGACTACAGACACTCACCACAACGCCCAGCTAGCTTTTCTATTTTCAGTAGAGATAGGGTCTCACTCTTGCTTAGGGTGGTCTCAAACTCCTGAGCACAAGCAATCCACCCACCTCAGCCTCCCAGACTGCTAGGATTATAGGTGTGAGCCTCTGTGCCCGGCCTTACAAAAATAATTGAATAGTAACCTCAGTGGTGGTGCCCAGAAATCTTCTATGACTCAGTCACCATGACTTTGGTGCAGCTTCCTGAACTGCCAAGTGTGATGAGGGCAGCAATTGCCCTACTTGTTCTTGGAGGTCACACATCAAGGGTCACACATCAACTGCCTTTGTAGGAGTGACGTCCCACCTTGTGTGGCCTGTGGCAGAGAGGCTGGCTATGACACTGGTAGACCAGTGGATTCTGGCAGTGGACCCTGGTAGACCTTTGACTAAATCCTACTTCACAAGCGTAAAGCCCTCTACCCTCTAAACACAGAGATAGTGACATTCACTGAGGAAAAACAAAATTGGCAAATTATCATTTTTTCCTTATGGTTTTTAAGTAAACCACACAAAGATCCTTGTGATCCTTCCCTAGAAAGAGGATGATGGTGGCTAAACCATAAACATCCAGACACCATTTACTAGTCATGTAAACCTCATTATGGTCCTCAGGTCTAATCT